GTAGAATATTATGCCAGTTGACATTATGCTCCTACATGGGTTTGCCTGAGGGAAAGATGGTAACTTTGCCTAAGCTTGTCATTTTCTGTCTACTTCTCATGTTGCTGAGATGATTATTTCAAGAGCAATGCTTGTATTATCTCCAAGTATAGATTTTTGAAATTTTATTTAAATTGAAATTTTATTTAAGTTGAATTAGAAAACAATTTCGTAAGTTTCATTTTTTTATAAAAATGAAGAAAAATTAAAGTTTACTTCTTTAAATATATTAAACATAATGTTTTATTTTTTCTGACATTTAGTGACCTTGAGCAAGTTTAACCATTGGATCCTCAGTTTATCTACAAAATATTGAATTAGACCATTTTTTTCTTGAGTTCTAGTCTCTTCTTATATTCTGTTATTCTAATGTGGTCTCCAAGTCTTCATTTTTTTTGAAGTAAATTTAATGTGTGAAAAATTACATTTATACAAGAGTTCATATTGGGAGTGATTATTCATTTTAGCAGAAGATTCATCTCTTTCTAAAGATATTGACTGACTAACTGACTACTATAAATAATCATTCCCCTTTGTGCAGTATGCTGTTAAAACCAGTACACTACTTTTGGAAAACCACCATGTCTAAGTTAAGGTATGCCTGCAAAGTCTTAACTTTTGCTTTCCTTCTTTCTTTTTTTTTTTTTGAGTTGGAGTCTCACTCTGTTGCCTAGATTGGAGGGCAGTAGCCCCTCCTAGCCACCGCAGCCTCGACCTGCTGAGCTCCGGTGATCCTTCCGCCTCAGTCTTCCGAGCAGCCGGAATTACAGGCACGCACTACCATGCCTGGCTGATTTTTTAATTTTATTGTAGAGATGAGGTCTCGCCAAGTTGCCCAGGCGGGTCTCGAACCCATGGGCTCAGGCAATCCAGTCAACTCAGCCTCCCAAAGGCGCAGGATTACAGGCTGAGCCACCGAGCCTGGCTCAACTTTAACATTTCTAATTTGACATTTCTTTTGGAAAATTTTCAAATTTACTTTTAGAGATACAATAGGGTATAAAATTTATACAAAATTCAGCATATCACTGGTTGAAAAAGTAGTTAAGTCTTTGACTTCCAAACAAACATATACATTAAAATATATACCGTTTAACATATAGAATATGCATTTTTTCTTTACGCTCTTCCTGATCTTAGGAAGAATTGGAGACAAAAGGAACATTGAGCTTCAGCATTCCATAATGTAATTTATTTAACTTTTTAATTTCTTCTTTTGTATTTTTAAAAGCAAGTTTTTTGAATTTTACATTGTTGCCTGGAATTTATTTATCCTTAATATTCCTTTCCATTTTTCTAATAATAGTGATTGCTCTTGAGTTGCAAATGCCATCAGTTAAATCGAATTTGTTGGTTAGAATTTTGAGGACAATTATCAAGAACAGTAGTGCATCTTCTTAGTTGCTTTTTCCAGTTGTGGGATCTTTATGAGTACTTTGACAAATTTGGCAGTTATCAATTGACTCTAAAGTATAAAATATAATAATTATTTGATTTTTTAATTTATAAGTTATTTTATTTGTTATAGATAACTTGAATGTTTTTAAAAGTGGGAATTGGCAGTTTTGAGAACAGTCTTAGAATAATAGTTCTATTGTTACTGTTAGTGTAAAAACTAAGCATTATATTTAAGATTAGGTGTATATGGTAAAGCCTAACCAATTTATATTACGTATGAGTGAGAGTCTAGTTTTAATGACAGGTTTTTAAAAATACAGGTTTGAGCCGGGCTCGGTGACTCAGCCTGTAATCCTGTGCCTTGGGGGAGGCTGAGGTGAGTGGATTGCCTGAGCCTGCGGGTTCGAGACCCGCCTGGGCAACTTGGCGAGACCTCATCTCTACAAAAAACCAAAATATTAGCCGGGCATGGTAGCGCGTGCCTGTAATTCTGGCTACTCGGAAGGCTGAGGCAGAAGGATCGCTGGAGCCCAGCAGGTTGAGGCTGCGGTGGCTGGGAGCGGCCACTGCACTCCAGTCTGGGTGACAGAGTGAGACTCCAACTCAAAAAAAAAATACAGGTTTGTTAGGCGAATTAACTGCATAACTAAAACTAAGTTACAAATGTAACTTCTAGAGAATATGCCTTAATGAGTATATAACCTGTGAAAATATCGTAGACCTCAGTATATGTTACAGTTATACTATTGTTATTACATAACTCTTCTAATGTCTTGAGAATAGTTTCTGCTCATAATTTAGTAAATATTCAGTGATTTGACTAGTGTCTCCTCAGTTATAAAGGAGTGTAGTATGTAGGTATAGTTCATTCCAGCCCTTCAGTAAGTGACTTGTGGTTGCCCATTTGGTATTATTCAAATTAATACTATATTTTTACACTTGGGTTTTGCTGAATAATACTTCTTTTATAATCATAGCTTTAAATTAGGTGTTTCTTCTTGTTAAGCCTATCTTCCTGATAATCAGTGATTAGTCTACATTGTTGATAATTAAGAAACAATGGCAACCAAGTTAGAATGTAGTTCTAACCTACTTTAGTGATGGAAATACTATTTTCTATTTTTTTTTAGCTTGCTTCCAGATGACCTATTTTTTTTAGTGGATATCATGGTTTTTATTTTTCATGTTACTGCTGAAAGATATTTCTATTTCTTATAACTGAACTGTTCATAATAAGCCTGTATAATAAACTAACACAATTACATTATTTAATATTTTATTATGCAAAATTTAGAAGAAATTTACAGCATAATTATAAGGTCATACATATACAGAGCACTACAAAATTTTAATCTGCTTACATTAAAGTGACATTAGGTTTCTGAGTGAAGGAAATATATATTTATGTAGTGGTAACTAATAAAATTACTCTTATGATAAATTAGACTATTCAAAGTATGTATTCATGGGGCACAATGTGATGTTTTGAGATATATATGTACATATATATTTGTAATGTATACACACACATTATAGAATGATTAAATCAAGCTAATAACATAACCATCACCTCACCTACTTATATTCTTATAGTGAGAACATTTAACATCTTCTCTTTTAGCAACTTTGAAATATATGATACATTATTATTAACTATAGTCACCATACTATCCAGCAGATCTCTAAAATGGATTTATCCTGTTTATCTGAAACTTTATATCCTTTGGCCAGCATCTCTTCTTTTCCCTTCCTGCCCCTCTATATCCCTTCTTCCCTTCTTTCCCTTTCTCTGGTGACCACCATTCTACTCTCTATATCTGTGAGTTCAACTTTTTAAGATTCTACATACAAATGATATCTTGCAGAATTTTTCCTTTGTTTTTTGTCTCATTTCATTAACATAATGTTCTCCAGGTTCATCCTGTTTGCTGCAAATGACAGAATTTCCGTCTTTTATAAGACTATATAGTATGCTACTGTATATACTTACCATGTTTCTTTATCCATTCCACCATTTGCCATTACCTTTTCAAGTTAAAAATATACTTACCCCATAACCCAGCAGCTCTTCTCCTGGGTATACCTCCAGGAGAAAAGTATGGATGTGGTAGCAAAGAAACATATAAAAAGGCTCATAGCAAAATTATTCACAAAAAACCCAAATTCAAACCAAACCAATCCAAATGTTTATGAACAGTAGAATTGAAATTTATGTGTGTGTGTATATATTACCTGCATGTATGTGTGTCTGTATATGTATGTGTATATATATTTATATTCATACACAGTGGAATTCTATATAGAAATGAAAAGGAATGTATTACAACTATTGGTAATAAAATGGATTGATCTTACAAATATAATATTGAAAGAACCAAGACTCAAAATGCCCACTTATGGTTTCATTTATATACATGTTATAAGTAGACAAAACTAAACTGTATTGTTAAAACTCATGAGAGTGGTTACTTCTGGAACATAAGGTAATGCCTGGGAAGGTGTGCATAGGGAGGGATTCTTGGGATGCTGGCTAAGTTCTGTTTCTTGTCTTGATTTGTAGTAACTCTGGTGCTTTCTCTGTGATAATTAATTTCATGGAACTTTTACAGATTTGTGTACTTTTCTGTACTTGTATATTCCTGCCCAGTAAATAGAGATTTGAAAATAAAACATAAACATATAGATATACAAAAGAAAGCAACATTTTCTTGCAGTCACCTATCGAAAGAGAACTATCAACAATTTTGTGTGTTTTATTTTATTTAGTACATTGCAAACCATTATTCCATTGTACCAAAATTATGGTAATGATTAACTTATCTTTTTGTATATCTCTCTGTTTTGTTTGTTTTATTCCCATAAATATAATTAAATGTTTTTGCTAAATTTTTCTGTGGGTCAGTTTTTCTCCAGAAAGCATCTAATAATGTATACCTATATTAGTGATGTTTGAGAATAATCATTTCATTGTGGTTTATCAATATTATTATTTATTTGCTACTTTGATGTCTCAACTAAAGTTTTAAGAAATAATTTTGTTTTTATTTGCACAAAATAATAACTGAAGTGTGTATTTAACAAATAAAGGCTATAAATTGACAAGAAAAATAAATAAATAGAGATTTAAAAAATGAACCATTAAAAAAGGTTTTAAAAATAACTGAATAATGATTGAAGTCACTTTTTGGTTAAATTTGCTAGTTTGTATTATTATGGTACCTGTTAATCTTTTCTTATACATTTTTAAGAGGGGGTAGTTGGAAAGTATATGATATGAGTATATATGATCAAATATAAATAGTGCCTTTATAAGATTAACCTTTCAATAATAAGTTACCTGTCTGTGTTAAGGCTCAGGTACTATTAGACCTTAATTTCTAGATTGTTAAGGCAAATTCTGAGAATCAGGCTATCATATTCTCATTTAGTTAAGTTTAAAGAGAAGAATTAGGGAACCTTTTTCTAAGGTCATTTCTAGTTGCTAATTTAAAACAGTTCTCTGGAATAGTCAAATTCATGCTATCTTCTATGTTTTTAACTTCTAATAAACTTTTTTTTAACAGGTGGAGAGAGAACCTGTGGAGTACATGAACTTATCTGTATTAGAAAAGGTAAGTCATTGTTCTGCATGGATATTTAAATACTAAATGAAGATTTAATAGTATAAAATTTTAGTAGGATGGCAGATAATTTGGGTTTATAAAGCAAAACATTTAATGAATATGAATATTTATTATTTGTATTATGGAGTTAAGCATTCATAAAGTACATACTGCTTATTATTTGGTTATTGAGAGTTGCTGCTTTATATTTAGTTTTGATGGGCTGATAAAGCCTGGTTTCTAGCATATTGGTTATTAGACATGGTGAAGAGGCAAAGAATGGAGGGTTTGATTTTTGTTCCCTTTCAGAATCTGGAATCTGAGTGCATGCTGATCTCCCATTGACTTCTGTTCTATTACTGTACCCCATCAGAGAGATGTGAGGAGTTGGTTGAGATTCAAATCGGGAACTTATCCAAAGACCACAACATCCTTTGACACCAACAACTGTCTATGCTTCCTTAGAAGGAGCCACCTGACAACTGGGTGGTTCAACAAAGGTGGCCCCAGGAAAGGTAATTCAGTTACTAGGCGGGAGGCAAGGAATCAGGTGTTCTGTAGATTTGGAGGAATCAGGAAAACTTTGGGAGTCCCCACAACTCCTTATAAGTAATCACAAATCTGTAAAATGGTATGGAGGAAGGAAAAGATATACCTGGGGAGGTCAGTGGAAGAAATCTTCATATGTTTACTACTCTTATTTCCTTTTAAACGTGGAGCCTTTTCTTTTTGTTGCATCTCTCTTGAAAACTCACTTGGCCCTCCTGACTCTTGCCAACTAGCAGCACTCCTCTCCCTAATGTTTCACTCTAAGAAAGTTTGGAGCAGTGTCAGTATTTTTGATACCTGGGTATGATTAGCCTGCCAGGGAAATTTCTGCATATTTTCAGTAAGTCTTTAACAGCTTTGAAGAACCTCAGCTTCTTTAGAATTGAAAAAAAAAATTAATCCTTCTTAAGTGAATTTACGTGACTCTTGTTGACATGATCATATTAGTTTATCTATGAGTCACTGCCTGCAGTTGCTGTTCATTTTAATAGTCTATTTCCTTTATTAAAGTATAGCTTATCTGTATACCTTTCCTCTGGTGCCACACACACAAAAAAAATTGAATGCAGTTCCCTGAAACCTCAAATTTAGGATTGTGATTCTCACCCTGTAACCGTTGTTGATTTGTGCTTATCTAAAATTAGAATAAATCTATACATTTTTTCTTCCTCTACACAGACATTTTTTAGTCTTCTGTTATATATATTAATCCAGAATTACTAAAAATGTTTTTAATGATTTTGTCCTACTGAATAATTTGATGGGACAGCCAAAGACACCGTATAGATTGGTTAGAATCAAATGCTATTAAATCTGTAGTCAGGTGAGGAGAAAATAAAATTAAGAATAGGGACAGTTACAAGGAAGAAAACTAAAATGTGTAGAGAGCCTTTTGTGGCTACAAAAGGAGTAAAAAGCTACAATGGAGAAAATAGTATAGATAAGGATAGATGATGATCCAAATAATATCTTTTTATTATGACTTTTTTTGGCTGTCCTTTATTGCTATCTCCATTCCTATCCAAGCAGTTCACAGAGTATGCCTTGCCAAGATTTCTGTATATTTGTCCAGCTTTTTTACTTCCTTCCATTTTTCTATATAATTTTAATTCTATGAATAAAAATTTAAAAAAATTATTAACACCATAGCCATGTCATGGAAAAGTATCTGAATCTCTCTTTATCTATGTATCCTTTCAGCATTCAGTGTAGTGTCCTATTCTAATAGATGTTCCATAGGTTTTTGAATATTTTCAAAATTAATGCTCAGAGTCAAAGCTTTTGCATTTTAAGCTGTACTTAGCTGGACTAAGCTGGACTACATAGGGTAGATCATGTGAATGTTATGTAAAGTAGAATAATTGTAATTAGTATCAGTGATTCTAATAAAATGACATCTCTGACATTACACTCAATTTCTTTTTACCAGTTTGGCTATTCTTTGCTATCTTTTTTGCTGACTTCTCTCCCCTGTTAGGCCTCTGAATACCAGGGTTTGGTCCTAGGCTTACTTATTTTTTCCTCCATTTGATTTTATACAGTTCTGTTGTTTTAAATGTCACGTACATTTATAGATCAAGCTCTGGACTGTTTTTGAGCTCTCTGCTCTTTTATCAGACTATTTACTTGATATTTCTATCTGGATTTGTTAGAATAACAACTTGACATTTCTAAAATGCAATTCTTGATTTTCTCAAATGCTCCTATACCTTTCTCAGTTTCTTCTATCTCAGTTAATAAATAGCATGTTCTATCTAGTTGCTCAAGTCCTAACTTAAGACTCATTTTATATTTCTCTTATTCTTATTGCCCACATTTAATTTATTAGTAAGTTCTGTCAATTTTACCTATAAAATATATTTTGAATGTATTCTCTTTTTTCCATCCTGTTGTCATTAGAGTTTGAGTCAGTTTTTTTGTTTTTTTTTTTTAACCTAGATCACTGTAATAGTTTTCTAGCTGGTTTTCCTACTTCCATTCTTACCTCCTTTGAGTAAGTATTAGAGATTTTTAAAAATGTAAATTAGGCCGTATCACTTTGCTGGTTGAAATTCTTCTGTGAATTCTCATTATAGCTGGAATAGAATCACAGTGTCTTACTCTGATCTTCAAAGCCCCATTATAGCATCAAGTCAGTATCCAAAATGTCATATAACTGTCTTCAGCCCAAAAGTCTCATTATCTAAATAATTTACATTATGTATGAGTGAGATTCTGGGTATGATCCCTCCTGGTTCACAATTTCTATCTATCTGTGGACTTGTGAAACTAGAAAACAAGTTACCCACTCCCAAAATACAATGGTGGGATGGCATAGAGTAATAGTTATAAGCATTCCTGTTGCAAAAGTGAGGAAATGAAAGAAAGGAGTCACTGTTCCCAAGCTACTTTAAACTTCAACTGGGCTAAATTTAAAGACCTGGGAATAATACTCTGGGGCTCTTGGCCCCAAGGCCTGAGGCTCTACCCTCTGGATTTAAGCCTCTGCCCTTGGAGTCCCTCTTCCTTTTTATGAAAGGTACGTGTTTGCATCTGAGTAATTCATCAGCTTGTTTTCTGCTTGTGGATTTTTGGTAGTCTGACAGCCTTCCTTCATCTCGTTCTCTCTTGTCCTCTTCAGTCCAAGGCGACAGTGTTTCTGAAGTGTAACATTCTCAAAAACCTTGTATTACCCATATGTTACAGAGATCTATTCCATTAGACCAGAGGCTCCTCCACAGGTCTTCCCTAGATAATCCTATCTCTGCTTTTGACTTCTGCTGAAATTGCTGAGGGAATCCATGTCACATATCTAATCTCTTCAAAGAGCCCTCTGTGTCACTGAATACTATGACCCTTTTCATTTTGAGGCACTAGCAAAATTTTGTCCAACCACACTCTTGACTTTCTCTCCAGACTGTGTTTCTTGACAGTGAATCTTCTATAATAATTGTAGCATCATTTACAATTGGGATAGACTGATTTTCCAAGACATCAAGTCCTAGTTCCTTTTCGCTTAAAAGTTTTTCTCTTCAATTTATCATTCTCTCATATTTTACTATAAGCAGCATGAGGTGACTAGGCTGCGCCACTAATACTTTGCTTGGAAATCTCAGTTAAATATCCAGGTTCATTGTTTAAAAGTTCTGCTTTCCATATAACCATAGAACACAATTCAGTGAAGTTTTCTGCCTCTTTCTTACAAGGATCCCTTGCCTCCAGTTTATAGTAGCACATTCCTCATTTCCTTCCGAGCCTTCACTAGCAGCATCTTTAACATCCACATTTCTACCGATGGTCTGTTAAGATGATTTAGGTATTATAGATTTATTTATGAAGATTTATGTATTATAGATTTATTTATGTAGATTTAAGATGATATGTTTTCTTCACCATATTCCTGTTTCTTTCTTGTTCTCTACTGGCAGAGTCGCTAACATCCATATTTCTACTGAAAGTCTGTTAAAGGATATTTAGGCTTTTTCTATTATGTTCCTCAAAATTCTTCAAGCTTTAACCCATTATCCAATTCTAAAACTCCTTCCACATTTCAAGGTATTTGTTACAGCAGCACTCCACTTTGAGGTACCAATTATCATAATATTACTAGCTTAAAACAACATATTTGTTTTCTTATAGTTCTGGGAGACAGAAGTCTGAAGTCAGTTTCACTGCTGAAGTCTAGCCTTTTTTTTTTTTGGAGGCTTCATGGGGAGAATCTGTTTCCTTATTCTTCTTCTTATTATTATTTTTGAGTTGGAGTCTCACTCTATCGCCCAGGCTGGAGTTCCGTGACCACTCCAGCGTCGCCCTGCTGGGCTCTGGCGATCTTTCCACCTCAGCCTTCCAAGTAGCTGGAACTACAGGTGAGCTACCACTCCCAACTAATTTTTGATTTATTAGAGACAAGGTAGAGACAAGGTCTTGCCAAGTTGCCCGGACTGGTCTCGAACCCGCGGGCTCAGGCAATCCGCTTGCCTCAGCCTCCCAAGCTGCTGGGATTACAGGCTGAGCCACCAAACCTGGCCTCCTTATCTTTTTTATCTTTTAGAGGCCACCTTCATTCCCTAGCCTCTAATTCTCTTCTCTATTTTCAAACGTATCTCCAACCTGTGATTCTGTTGTTCTGTCTCCTTCTTCCATTGCTCTGTTTGCCTGCCTCTCTCTTCCAGGGATCCTATGGCCACATCAGGCCCATAATCCACGTTAATCGTTCCATCTCAAAATTCTTAACATAACCAAATCTGTAAAGTCCCCTTTGCCATTTAATTCTGGGATTAGGATCTACAGACCTTTCAGGGGCCGTTATTCAGCCTACCACACTTGCATTATCTGACCCCTCTCTATTTTATCCTCCTCATTTTATATATACTCCCTCTTACCCACTATGATTCAGCCACATTGGCTTTCTTTCTGTTTATTAATTGTACTTCATTTAATGACTTCTCACATGGCAGTAAATGTTCTACCAGTTAAGACAGATTACTTTTTTTATGACCTGATCTTAGAGGGAGGCACATGGTAGCACTTTTGCCATACTATGTTAGTATTAAGTAGTTACAAATCTGGTTAGTTTCAAAGGAAAGGGATATAAGCCCTACTTCTCCACGGGAGTTATGTCAAAGAATTTGCAGACATGTTTTTCAAAAAAGCAATATCTTATATGCTCATATTAGAAAAGAAGTGAGTGAAAATTTGTGAGATAAGCATTCAATGCAAGAAGTTAGAGCCATCTCATAAACTCAGAGAAACTAGAAGGAGGGAGGAATAAAAATAGCAAAAAATTAATGAAATCGAAAACAGAAATAAAGAGGACCAATAGAGCCAAAATGCAGTGCTTTGAAAAGACATAAAATAGATCTCTAGTATGATTAATTTAGAAAAAAAGAAGCCATATCTAAAGAATATTAGACCTATGAAAGGGAATGGAATTACAATTCTAAGCAAGATTTTTTAAATTCTAAAAATATTAATGACTTCTTGGCAG